GGAATGCTCAGATAACAGAATGTAAACCTTCTCTAGTTAGAGGATGTAAGTATTGCCTGCTTTTAGTACTGCATGACATACCGAGAGCTACTGCTTTCTCCATGCCCTGTGGATCTTATATGTTCTCTTGTAACACTACTAGAGGAAAAGCACAGAATTTAATTTGTGTTCATGATGTACTTTGAGTAATTAGAATACAGCTGAATATTAAAAAAGACGTTTCAGATTTCTCATGGAAACCACTGTTAAGCTTTTTATGCTTATCTCCTAGAACTGGGAAATATATGCAGTCTTCCTTTCATGAGATACAAAATGGAAATATCAAGGCTTTCTCTTTTTTTATTAGTGCAAACAATAAAAACCACTTTTGCTGAATATATCAAGAGTTTGGAACTTTTTGAAAATGAGTAGTTTTCTGACATAGTAGTTTTCTTACATAGTAAATATGTAAACGGTATTAATAGCTACAGAAGTAATGTAAAAAAAACTCACAAAACCAAAAAACTCAACACTACTTATGAACATCTAAATATAAACAATTTCCACCTATTTATGGGTGACAAATTTCACTGCGATCTCAAATTTTAACATTTCCGATGTACTCCAACAAATGCGTCTCTCTCTTGGTTTGCAAAAAGACTTGGTGAAATAAATTCTGTGGATGATCGAAGGTTTCTCCATATTTTTACCTGCACAGACCAGCAAGTGGAGTGTGGGAAGTTTTGCATAAGACATGCTACTTGGGTGGCAGTTAAAACTGAAATAGTCCTGAATGACTTGGAGGAAAACTTAGTGGCGACTGGGAAGGTGCTGTTTGTCACATTGTAAAAGATCTGAAAGGTATCGCTCAGTGCAGGAAAACCACAGGCATCTGGCCTAGCTAAAATATCGATTTTGCACGTGACAGCCACCTACTACAATAAATACCCTTCCATTGAGTTAGGAACAGCATTTCGATTAAACTCTCAAACGCAAATTCCCATCGCTTTAATATTTAACTATACAGCATCATATGTGTAACGATAATACACGATTATATTAGTATTTGAACTGTAATACGTAATTACTTGCTAAACTTTTGAGAGTTCGAGTTTTCAAAGAGCTGGAAATCGAGAAAACGTCGAATTTGCCAGGTTTGTGCTGACCACTACAGCTGTGCCAGACCACTTCAGCTTTCTTTATGCCTTTGCGTATATGAAGCACTAGTGTAGCAGTATTTGCTTAGCTTCTAATTTTGGTTTGCTTTTTTGTGTTTTTTTTTCTTTCTCTCTCTTGGTTGTGCCGTTCTTCCTCCCATGATACTGTGCTCGCTCTTTCCGTGCATCACCTGTGATACCCCCCTGCTCCGACCACTCAGCTGTTGGTGAAGGGGGTACATGAAACTCTGGTAGCTCAGAGAGTTGTTCCTGCTCTCATTACTCTCTCCAGTGACCCTGAAATGTAAGTTTCCTGACTGTCTTATATACCCAGCATCCCTCTTAATACTTAGGAAGAAATAACCATCAGTTATGTTTCTTACTCTAGCTGAACAAACATTGAACTACTTTTAAACAAGTGTAACGTTTTAATCATTTATTTTTAAACAAAAAGGTTTACAGGGATCACTAAACTAGTTCAAATTGCTGAATAAGCTTTAAATAGAAAACTTAATGTAAATTAATTTTTATGTGTTTTCATATTTAATCATATTCTCAGTTTTGAAACTTGCCTCATTTCTAGCAGAAAGCTGGAAATTAAGAAGTTCTGTAATGCCATCAGCTTTGCTACTGCAAAATTAAATATCATTGCAACACTGAAATGCAAAATGGTTTTGGCTGTATCTGATTTCTGATAGACAGCTGTAGTACTTCGTTTGCTCAATATTCTGATGCGGTATTTCTTTCAAGCTAAGGAGGGATGCTTTGCTAATCTCACTAACAGGTTGTTACTACTAAGTGCTAGAGCATGAATAGAGTCTTAATTGTTTTCATGTCTTGTGTGGGTGACTAAAACCAGCAAGACCCCAAGAGTCTGCCTGCCCATCCTCAGTCACAGCTAACCCAGTTCTTCAAGTTTACCAAACCGTTTTTTATTGCATGTTGACTGGTTTACAGCTGACTCTTCGAGGCATGAGTGAAGCCTTAGTTGACAAGCGGGTTGCTCCGGCCCTTGTTACCTTGTCCAGTGATCCTGAATTGTGAGTTTCAGACTGAGACCTTGAGTTAATCCTGTCTGTCTTTTTCCTGGTCTGCCTTTTTTTTTGGTTTTGTTTGTTTGTTTTGTCATTGCTAGAAACTAATGTAACTTAAAGTACTAATTTTTTTACTTTGCTTTATTTTAATTAATTTTACTCTAAATGTTTAATGCATCTTAAAGACTCTGTTTTTCTGTTGTAGTTCAGTGAGGATTGCAACAATTCCTGCTTTTGGGACCATCATGGAAACTGTTACTCAAAGAGAAGTAAGACACCTGTTGTCAGGCTATTGCTTTTGTAGCATAATTGGTGATTTTTGATAATCCCAGACATCCAGTAATTTATTAATGAACTTAGAGAGGAAGAAAAAAAAACTTTATAAATTATTTCTTCGTTTTTTTATATCCTCTTCCAAAATGCTTTCCAGTTTTCCTTTTTTTGTGTGTTTTTTATTTTCTTTTTCTTCTTTGGAAACAAACCAACCCTCTTTAACTAATAAAAACATTTCCTTCTAAATATCAAACCAAACATAAACAAAAAAAGCAGATAATGTGAGGGGGAGGTCTGTGCTAGAAGATGGGAAATCCCATGCTCCAAATGTTTTTTTTTTTTTTTGAAACATTCTCCAATACTGTTGAGAAATCGAAGTCCACTATTTCCAAATAAACTAGCTTTACTTTAAAACACTAACGAAGAAGTCACAGCAGGATTCAGTTACTTCCACATAAGTGTATTGTATCGTTTGAGATGCCTTAGGATGTCCTGCTTGACTTTCGGTGACTTTAGAGGGGCACGAGTCTCTCATAGTTCCTGTCAGTAGTACTAAACCAGAGATGGTAGTTTAGCCCAGGATGGCATTAAAAGGCATCATGGTGATATAATTGAAGTATTTTTTGAGGATAATGGATATATGCAATTCCTCCTTGTTTTTGAAATGATGTAACTTTGCTAATAGATCAGAATTTTGAAAAAGACACTCAGGATTCTGCTGCAAGCAGGAGAAATACTGTAGTTTGCTGATATAATAACTTTACAGTCTCATTGCATTTTGAAGTCCTCAATACTTTTTGCAGAGCTTGCATTGTTCCTGTAATTTCAACATATTCTAAAAGAATGTGTTTGAGGAAATGTGAGTAAGAAGTCAGTGATGACTCACAAGTACTTGGAAGAAGGATGAGTTACAATTTTGTAGTTTGGAATGCATGCCTATAATCAGTTTGGGAAGAATACTGTTTTGTTACCACACAAAAATTACTGTATCCTTTGCACTAATTATAATAAACCTTAGAGTACAGAGGTGATATTGCTTTCCAAAATATATTAAAAAATGTTATATTTGCCACTTTGAATGCAGATTACATACTTAGATTGAGTTACAATTTTGTAGTTTGGAATGCATGCCTATAATCAGTTTGGGAAGAATACTGTTTTGTTACCACACAAAAATTACTGTATCCTTTGCACTAATTATAATAAACCTTAGAGTACAGAGGTGATATATTTGCCACTTTGAATGCAGATTACGTACTTAGATCATCTGAGATATATTTGTGTTTTCAGGTTTTCTAGCCTTTATTTGAAAAAGTCTTTTTTAATTGATTTTTAGGGTGCCTACTTTTTCATCTCCGTCTTCTGCATATATTAGCTGAGGTATATGTAAAAAAACCTCAGACATTAGTTCAGTTCTAATTAAACAGAAAAGCTCCAAAGACGTTTATAGTAAAAGGGAAATTTTAATAGCAAGTAAAAAATGTATCAGAACACTGTTAACAGTCTTTAAAATGTACAGCTGCATTGAAGAGTTTGGAAAGTACTATCAGAAAAAAATTGTAAATTGACAAAAGGTCCAGGGTTTATCATCTGAAGTATGGAAGATTATAGACATGCTCTGAACTGACCATAACAGTTTCTATCATCTTCATTCTTTTCTGTACTTCTTATCTCTCTGGGAATATTTAAGCTTCTTTTTTAGAGTGAAAATGCAGCTGGCATCCTTCCTGGAGGACCCTCAATATCAAGACCAACATTCTCTACATACAGAAATCATAAAAACATTTGGAAGAGTTGGACCTAATGCTGAGCCCAGATTTAGAGATGAATGTAAGTTGCATCAGTGGGAAGGTGCACTTTTCTTCTTTCTGTACCAAAGCTAATAGTATGCTGCTTATATTGATATTTCTTTTTTATTTTGTCTTTACAAAAAAAATTGATGAAAACTCGAAACTATTTCCAGAATTTGGTATGTCCCAGTATTTAAGACTTTGCTAACACAATTTTCACTTTACCTAAGGTCAGTGTGTATATAGAACACTAGCACATGGTGATGAGGTATTTCAGAGCTGGGCAGACCGATTGTTTTGCTGCAGAGCAAATTTTAAGTTTTCTTTTTTTTTTCTTTTTTTTTTTGAAGTTTTCTTTTTTTTTTTTTTTTTTTCTTTTTTTTTTTGTTACAAATTTCATGTATTTTTTTTGTTACAAATTTCATGTATTTTTTTTGTTATAAATTTCATGTATTCTAGGCATCCCAGATGAACCAAACAGCTTTTTTTCCATGGCTCTGAAATGTAAAGCACATAAAAGAACAAAGTCAGTTGTTATTCTATCCTAAAGATACTGGTGAACAAAGCATGAGGAGCTATGATGCCTCCAACATGCAGACATCTCGTGTAGCAGGCTCAACCCGTGAGCGAGGCTTCCTCTATAGCCAGGGAAGGTTGCTGCTCATGACATGCGTATCTCTGTCACTAGCTTATCAGCTGTATTTATGAATAGAAGCATATTTTAGGCAGCTTTAGCAGCAGAGAGCATTACTGTTGCAAAATGCCATCACTGTTTCAAAGGTACTCCGAGGTACTTTATTTCAGGTGGTGTTACCACAGGTGTATTTCAAATTGGAACTGATTTTTAAGGGTAGTCCCATCTAAAGCCATTATTTGCAGTTCTTATTCCACGCTGACGTGTGATGCTTCAAATGCCTGAAGTTGCTGCTTAGCAACTGTTTAATGCTGAGGAAGTTGACAGAAAGCAATTTCAAATACTTATTCCAGTATTTACTTCTACAGTTGTTATCCCACACTTGCACAAGTTAGCCCTGGTCAACAACCAGCAGTCTGTGGATTCGAAGAGACTGGATATCGCTACCCACCTGTTTGAAGCCTACAGCGCTCTTTCCTGTTGTTGTATCCTTTTTTTTTAGAAGTTTAGCTGTAAATTCTTTGGTGGGGGGAGAAAATGTCATACTTGAGATATAACTAAGTTTGTCTTTGAATATGTGATTGTCGCGGGTTAGTGCTGGGCCAGCCACTAAATGCAGAGAGATGCTCTCTAACCCCCTCTCCCTCTCCAAATTGGAAGGAAAAGGGAATGAGGCAGAGAGGCTTACAAATTGGAAAAAAAACCTCAGCTTTAATGAATAAGGAAATAATAAAAATAGTGAACTATATACATATATGCAAATCCAACATCAAACCCTACTCCCCCTCCCCAATAGCAATAACCACTGATGCTGCAGAGCAGCCATAGCCAAAACATGGGTGTGTTTTCAACACCTTTTCAGCTACCACTCCAAAGAACTATGAGGGCTCCTGTGGTGAAAATTAATTCCATCTCAGCCTGACCCAATGCAGTGAAACTGATAGATACTTTTTTTTCTAAAACCAAAAAAAGCTACAAAGACAAAGGCCTTGATTTTAAGAAGTAATTTAAGGAAAAAACCCTAAAAATAAAGGTATGAGTGTACAAAATATCAAGTTAAATATTAAGATGGTTTTTTATTAGTTATGAAGTGCCAAATATTGTTCTGTTTTCTTGGGTTTTGCTGCTGTAGCTTGTCCTTGTGTTCAGTAGAATAACGTTAAGACAGAAAAAAATGTGCATGATTGCAGAAGACAATGCTAATAATACCTTAACAACCTGGTTTTTAGTTATTTCAGAGGATTTAATGGTCAATCACTTTTTACCAGGACTTAAGTGTTTACGAATTGACATGGAACATCTCTCACCAGAGCATGAGGTAAGCAGCTAAGTTTACTGAGTATAAGATGCAGGTGGGAGGAAAAGTTGAAATGTAATGGTGCTTAAAAATAAAAGTTAAGGAGAGCTACTCATAAGTGATATCAAAACATAGCATAGAGAGTTTTGTTGGTAAGGAGCAGGTCACATGATTTAAAAAACAGTAAAATTATTTTAAATGTATTTCTAAGCTGAGGACATCTGCAGATCAAAAGTCAACTATCAGAAATGCACCTAGAAACACAGATTTTTGTTGACTGAATAAAAAGGAAATGTTTCTACCATCTGGGGTTTTTTTATCAAAACAGTGATACACTGAAATCAATGGCCACAATATCATAGAATCATGGAAGGATTTGGATTGGGGAGGACCTTCAAGATCATCTAGTGCCAACGCTGCTGCCACGGGCAGGGACATCTCCCACTAGCCCAAGTTGCTCAAAGCCCGGTCCAACCTGGCCTTGAAGGTAGATGGAAACTGCTGGAGTGCAGGGGAGAAGTGATAAGCAAGGGCAAGCAAAGTGTGGTCCTGAAATACATGGGATGCACTTCATACCTGGAGTACTGTGTCCAGTTCTGCCCTCCCCAGTACAGGAGCATGGACCTACTGGAGAGTCCAGTGAAGGGCCATGAAGATGATGGACTGGAGCATCTCTCATGGGAGAGGCTGAGAGCTGGGACTGTTCAGCCTGGACAAGAGAAGGCTCAGGGAGGTTCTTACTAGTGTATATGAATATGTGGAGGTAGGATGCAGAGAGGACAGAGCCAGGCTCTTCTCAGTGATGCCCAGTCACACGAGCAGAGTCAGTGGGCACAAACTGAAACACAGGAGGTTCCCTCTGAACATCAGGAAACACCTTTTTACTGTAAAGGTGTCAATGGTGCAGGTTGCCCAGAGACCTGGTGGAGTCTCCATCCTTGAAGATACTCAAAAGCCGTATGGACACAGTCCTGGGCAGCTGGCTCCAGGTGACCTCTGCTGACCTCATCCATTCTGTGACTCTGTGAATTGTAAAAAGCATTTTATAATAAGCCGACAGGACAACACAGGAGCTAAAAAGATGATCTCTGATAGAAGGAGCTTACAGAAAAGAGCAAAAGAGAAGAGTTAGCAGGAGAAGCTGACTTGAGAAACTTGAAAATCTTTGCCAGATTTCTGTGCAGTTTTTTGTAAATGCTTCAAGAAGATGAACACTAAGAGAGATTGAAACACATACGCTAAAAGTCGGTAGCTGAAAACAAGAGATGTAGTTCAGTTGCATGTTGGGGAAAATCCTGACAGTATGAACATTTCAAGTGATAGAGGAGGAAAAGATTTAATCCAAGTGTACAAAGGGACATGTTTCTGGGTTTTGAAGGTTAGAACTGCACTTTCATGGATTACTTTGTACTTGAGAAAAGTAATTATTTTTCCTTATGATTGCAAAAGTGACTATATTCTGTAGGAGTTCTAAGTTCCTACACTTGATAACTAAGTCCCTTCTAGATACATTTTCAGTATAATAGCCTATAGTTTAATTCTTTTATTTTCTGTGTATTATTATATTATTTTACATAATTTATAGTATGTGGAACTGGAGGTGAATTGATTTGAGGAACTTTCAGACCTAAAAGGAAAGAATCTGACGTGAGAGGGCTGAGTCAGAAGGAACAGCAGTGACCTGAGCATCAGTCAAAAGCAACAGAATTGCACTTCCTTACCACGGGCAGCACTGGAGGGCATCTGCCAATGATGTATTGTGTTTTGGGAAGTCTAAGAATATATCTGAAAGCTGAAGTAGACAAAAGTTGGATTTGATTTTCTTTGTTCTATCACTAATGGGATAATATACAAATACTAATGCTTCATTTTTGTATAGTGGTTAGTACAACTTCTGAGGTTTAAAGGCATAGTCAGTTCAAAAGATTCCCTGAATTAGAACAAAAGAGATTGGGTTTGAGTCTCGTAGCCAGAGAAGGAACTGAGCCCCTTGATAGGATTAAAAATAGCTAGCTAAAGACAGCTCTCAGTCTGCCTTTACCGCATTCTGCATCACTGTGATTAATTGGCTTTAGGCATGATGCCAAGTGCTTTATCGGTTTTTAGCCAGAGAGAAACATAATTTCAAAAATACGTACTCCTGCTCCAGTGGGTTGGAAAACTCACTACAGCATTTACTGTAGAAATGGAAATCTGGTACAACAGGGTGTTTGTAGGCACCGTGATAGAGACCTCTCAAGCTCAGTTAGTTCTAGGGTCTGTCTTTCAAGCCTTCTGTCTTAAAGTTATGTTTTCTGAAGTAAATGGGATTTACTGTTTCAAATAGTTAAGACATTTTTGCATAAACAATTAACATTTCTCGTATTATTTTGGTCACTGTGGCATTACATTTTAAATGGCACATCGGTTACAAAAACACATTTTTCTCATTCACAGAGACTTAGTTTTTGTGGCTCTAACACCAGTACAGAGCTTCTGCTCATCTTAAAAATGTAACATTTGTGGAATTGGCTTGCGATCCTGTCAGGCAGCATTTACCACTTATCCCTCATCTATGATTTCCTTTCATTCATATAAACAAAAGTGCAAGTTGGGCATTTAAGCGAGACCCTTTCATCTTTAAAATAAACACTTCAGCTTCTGCAGACATTGCAGACACTTTGCCGGCATCTCTAATTCCATGTCAGGCCCCCTTCTCCACTTGCCTTCTGTTTCTTTTCAAAATAATTGGAGTTTGAGTTGCATGATAGTGACATGTTAGTACTTGATAAAAATATTTAGTCCATCTGCAGTATTGTTTATAATACTTAAGCACATGTTATGTCTCTTAAATGTCTCTAAATATAGAGTTACATCTCTAAAATATCTCTCTTAAAAGAAGTCTGAATGATTTCACAGTCCTAGGACCAAAGACAACGCAAGGAAATAAGTATGAGAAGGACGTGCAATATTGTAATGTAAAATTGCCGTATGATACTATGTTTGTACCTTTCCTCTGTTTCACCCTGAACTTTAAGACAAATTAATTTGTGGAAAAGGGAAGAATTGCTTCACTTCTTCCAAGAATTATGCATCCAGATACATATTCTGTTTCCCAGAAGGAACTGTGTGGTGGATTGGGACTCCATCCCAGTATTCAAATGATTCTGGGTCCATGATGAAGTACTCTCTCCCTTGTTCGAGACTTCATATTGTTGATATTTGGAACATCTAGATTCAGACAGATTTTTTGGAATGCTCCAAAGCACAAATAGAAATGCTAAAGAGTAAAAATTATGGCCACTGTGCTTAGAAATTTCTGTTGATACTGAAAGGAAAACTTTCTTTTTCGCTGGAATTTTGAATGCGTTTCTCTTGTACCTCTGTACTCCTGAGTTTTAAGTATTTGCATGATATTTTCTGTAGATGAAGTACAGCAAATTTAGCAGTAAGAGTTGTCCTGTTAGACTCTACACAAGTTTGAATGCTGCTTTCTGAAACATCCAAGGGTGTATAATACCTGCTACCCAAAATATTTCAAGTGTTCAGGTAGTACTTCTGGAGAAATAGAGTGAGAGTGGCCCAGGTCTGCAGACCAGGCCACATCTTCTCAGTGTAATAAGTGGTTTCAAAGCATATTTTGTGCTGCAGTGGTCTAATAGGGATTTGACAGAAACCAGCTTTTTAATGTACATAAGTACACTGAGAAATAGTTATCGCTTCGTAGTGACCATTAGTAACTGATCTGTATTTTAAGGATTGAAATTGTTTTTTCCCTTTATTGTGTATAATCAGTAAGTCACTACTAACTTTAGTTACTTGTAGCTTTGAGATTTCAAATTTAATATCTTAAGAGAATGTACTTAGCTTTCTCCTGAGCTATGAACAGAGAATGTTTCCATTTGTGCAGTGAGTGTGTATGTGTGCATATATATAGTGTAGGTATATCTGTTTAGTTTCGCTCTCTGCATTGTGACTGTTGTGCCTAAATGTTTTAAATGTTTTTGCCTGAATAGGTTAAAACAGGACTGTTGTGGGCAGGAAGTTATATACCTGTGCAATGAATTGTACGGTTTCTTTGAAAGTCTGCTTTTGGGAATCATTCCTTTGTTTTTGGTATGCTGGAGAAATGTAAAATGTAAGGGGGGGGATGGTTTTAGGCTTAAATATGCTGCAGAAACCTTTAACACTGCAATTGCTTAAGTAAAGAAAAAAAGCCTTGATTCTTAGAAACCCTGACAGACAGCAGTGAAATAATGCCAAGTGTGCTTTAGCCCTCACTTTCCATTAAGATGTTATCTTAGGATGCCATCACACTTTTTTTCTTTTCTTGCTTTTTCTTTCATGCATAACACTGGTAAAGATATATATTTTAGAAGGTACTTGAAAACTCTCTAAAGGGAATAGAAAGAAGATGGATGTACGTCAAAGTTAATTGCTAATAAATGTGGTATTTGAAAAAAGGAACATGAGGTGTGTCACAGAAATGAGTTTATTTTAGCTCGATTTTAAAAAGCTGGGGGAAACAGGAGGGAGTTTTGAACTCCTGTAACTATTTCAAAAACATTTTCTTCCTTGAAGTTATTTTGAATAGTTTTGTTACTTGTGCCCACAAGGCATTACCAGATAGCTGGAGTTTAAGTGTGCTCAGATACACTTTTTAAACAGTTCTGCTACTGTTGGAATTGGTTGTGAAGTAGATTTTGTATGAAGTGTTAATGCAGAATTAAAAATGTCATGTATATCTCTTCCTTATGTGCCTTAGGTTATTTTAAGCTCCATGATAAAAGAGTGTGAACAGAAAGTGGAAAACAAGACCGTCCAAGAACCGCAGGGGTAAGATTCCCACTCTGCTTTTTTCTGTGCCTGCAATGTTCTACCGAGTGTATTCCATAATAAGTGTCCAAGGCTTGCGACCAGAAATCCCATACTGACATATTCTGTGTTTGAAAGCTAATTTTAGGAACTTTAATTCAGTATGTGCATGCTTCTGTCTCCAGTGTAAAACACAGAACAGCAATGACATTCTTGTTTTCCCACGTTACATTGTTCTGAGGTTTTCATTGATTTAAAGCAGTCATGGATTTTCTGTCCTGAACGTGAGAAAGCAGGGAGTGCTTGGCCTTAGTGCTTAGGGCAGCACCTGTGTCACATACCCTGCAGCCCTCTGTCATGGGAGTGGCCTGCAGGCCGAAAAAGTCCTTCTGGTTGTGGTAGTGACCCTCTCCAGGCTGCTGTCTTCACTTGCATGTGACCCCTGCACACAAGAACAGTTTCTCCCGTGTACAAACTGACCTACCTCTATCAACACACTGTTTAGTCATTATGTTGGCTTTGGGAAAAAGCCACCTGTGTTGCACTTCAGCAAAATACCCATTCTACAAACGCACAGTAAACCCAGCTCTCTGGTGAGGCATCAGACACAGGGTACATATACATCGCTTTGCCTGATGTGAGACAGAGGTGGTATCCCGTGTGTTCGTCTCTCTCCTGATAACAAAAGAATCTAGCAGACCCGCAGATTGGGAAAGCTGACCATCATTGTGATGAGCCATATGTGTTCTTTTGCCTACTCGTTGCCTGGAATGGCATACCAGCAGCTAACTTGGCGTGGATTATTGTGTAACTTAAGAAATATCCTTAGCGGTGTTGCCAGGAGGAGTTTGAGAAGAAAAGATAATCTGTCCTCAGTCCTTATACCTTCCCATGGGAATCGAGACAGTTACCAAAACTTGTTTATGTCATGTGTCCTTATCTGTTACAAATTGATAGAATTTACTTCTTAAACAAGCTCAGGCAAAATCCTGGAAGAAGCTGTTACTTTGAGAATGACTGAAATAGGAAAGGTGTACAGGAATTGAACAGAAGAGACATGGTGTGGAAAAAGAGTCTCTCATGAACCAAATAAAATATCTCAGACTTTACAAGTGGTGATTAGCCTGTTTACTGGAGTAGTAATGAATAGTGCATAGTAAGAACTGAATCCATTTGAAATGTGAGCATCAGGTCAACTCTTAAAGGTGTATTGGAAATGAACTTTAGATTTTGGCAGTGAAACAGTTTTAAGACTAAAAATGTCCAGGTTCTAAAGCAGATCACAATCTGTTCTAATAAGGTGGTTGATTCTGTCTAGTCATACGGAAGTGAGAAGAAATACAAAACCTTTAAGATCTGAAGAATGCACTGTCCATTGCCTGTTTTCCCCTCTCCTGTTCATGGGGCAGTATTGTGATATAGGGACTGTACTGACTAAGTGTATTCCAGCTGAGTGACTATTTTCATTATGAACTAGGTATTTGACATATTAGTTATTCACAGAATAAGAACAGGTTTATCTGACTTCGTTACTCCACAGGCATATTCCTTGCTTGCAACATGAACCAAAAAAACGCGTTAATTTGCACTGGTGTTTTCTCACAGGGCTTTGCTATGTTACTTCCTCAAGCATTGTATTTCTGCTCTTATCCTTTCTGCCTTCACTTAAATGGAGCTTTCTGAGATGCAAACCTGTGTGTGTCCCCAACAGACAGCCTCTGAATACCCATTCCCTTCCTGTCCCCTTCAGATTCTTCAGCAGCTGTGTATTTGCTTTTTATTTTTAAAGAATGATGAATTATGCCTTCTGCTGTGTTAAAGTTGGGCACTTAAGTCAGTTATTTCCCCGGAAGACAACCTACAATAAAGATTCTTGGGAAGATAAAAACTTGATAGTTGCCCCATGAGACCCATCCTGATTTTTGCAAGTAAATATTAGTTATATCAAGGTTTTCCCTGTGCTATGCACTTTGCATAGTAGGTACCCAACAGGTCATTGCAATAAGGCAGAATTATCAGCTGGGCTCTCTGCAGATCTGATGCTAAGCAATTGCTGTAGATTCTCACCAACTAACCTATGCAAGGACCTCCTGCCACATAAGCAATGACTTGGTATTTTGACTGACAAGTTCATTCATTAGAATCAATTGTGTGCATAGGCATCTATTACTTTGCAAATATTTCTCCTGCCTGGGTTTTACAGACTCTTTGTTTAATCTACAGACTAACTGATGTTCTTTTTTTATTTTAATTCTTTGTACAATAAAAAGCCAACACCTCAGACTTTGACTTGTAAAGAAAAAAAGTAAAACCAATGTATGTATCTAAATACATAGGATGAGACTTCTATGTCTGATAATTTTTTTGAAGTAGATTTATCATTTCTTGGTCTTTTTTTAGGAGAGATTGATAGAAAATATGAAATTGATTGCTTCTCAGTCAAGCATTCTGAAAGAGACTTTTTTTTCCTCTCCCAGAATGTATCAAATCTACAGAGAGACCAGTCTGATATCATGTAAAGAACACCATTAACCTTAACATGAAGAGATTTTATTATCTTATGTGTATTAACTGAACTATGAAACCTAAGGTTATAAAACAAAATTCCTTGGCTGACCTTTTCCTAGTTCTCAAGTGGTGCTCTTGAGCTGGACTGGATTTTTATTTCTTCTTTTTTTTTTTTTTTTGGTGTACTTTTGCCTCTCACAGATGCTTTAACCTATTTAGTTCATCAACACTGTTCTCTGTGTGGCTAGAGTTTGAGTGATCTGCTTTTATTTCATGTAGGGTTTAGACTTACTTTGCTTTAGCTTGTATCAGTGCAGACATGTTAACCTAAATGTAAGAGGTCTGTATTATATAAAAATCCCTTTTATGAAAATGTTTTGAAATCACAGTTATTCCTATTAAACCATGACAGAAACAGATAAATGTGAACATGACACAACATCAAGTGTATTTTCTTTTGGAATGCAACTGCAAGGTGTGGAAAGTCTGAGTCTTCACAATGTGTTGCTCCATTCTTTAATTAACCTTCCCCTTTCTTACTCAGAATTGGGCTATGGTTACAGTCTTCTACTGTAAAAAAATTAACCTAAGATATTTTACTACTGGAGAAATGACCTTTTCAAGAAAGATTAATATCTCCTTTTTTCTTACTAAGGGCTTGCCAATCTTAGTTCCCAATTTCAGTCTTAAAATATATATTTGACAAAGGATTTAAATGCAACTAGGAGATCAGTTACTGATTTTTGTTAATGTGAGAACGCAAGCACAAAAATGAAACTGGATACAAAAACAATCTGAAGATGTTGGCTATTTTATCTTTGTCCCTTACTGTTAGAAAAGGTTGAGTTTAAATAATATGGAGTGGCAGAAATAGGATTTTTTTTAAAAAAAAAAAATATTAAACTTTGTCTTTTTAAATATTAGATAGCCACTCTTGTTAAGCATTTTCTTTAGCAATTAACAAGATATTTCAATCATGGTTAACAACTTACGTTACAAACAGATTTTTTGTAAGATGTCCATCATGAATGTTTGTTTTGGCCTAAAGCTTCCCCAAAAAGCAGGCAGAACTCTTTGTAGCGTGTAATTCATATGGACACTGCTCACACATTTGATGTTTACACATTACTTTTATTTGGGAGTGGGTTTTTGTTTTGTTTTTTAAATGAGTAATACAAAGATTTTTCTACTGGACTAGTTTCAAACAAGAAGTATTATTGCCTTGTAGGGTTCTCTGATTGCTTTTTAGATATTGGAGACTCAAATTCTTTGGTTTCTTATTGCTTATTTTTAAATGTTCGATTTGTATAGTAATAGAAGTACTTTTGAGGCATATTTAAACTTTTAAATATGTCAAGTGTTGTGGATATCTTTATATTTATGGTAGCTTAATATCAGAAAACACTCCAGATCTTAATTTTTAATATCAGGTGGCTGATATCCCCCAGTTTTGAAAATCAGTAGAACATTTCCTGGTTTGCCTCAAGCTTACTCAGAATCATTAGAATAATGACAGAACAATTTGCTTAAAACTACAGGTTTGTCACTAGTTGCTAGGCTTTCTTTTCTGAAGTGACCGATTTTATTTAGTTCCTGTTGCTAGTACTTAGAATGTACTCCATTTCCCAGATCAGTCTTCCTAGTTACGTACAGCTCCAGGATACATCATAAGCTGGAATAGCTTCGTGCCTTCAGCCAGCTGTTAGCAAGTATAAACTGTTTACATAATTTCCATGCCCTTCCTTTATCGTGAAATGAAGGAAAATTGCACAAGAAATCCATCTTAGAGCAATAGTAACTTACTTGCTAACTTTTGTCAACTGCAAATATGTGATTCCGTAGATGACTGTAGATGTTTAATCAAGCCAAAAATGTCAATTGCACAAGAAATCCATCTTAGAGCAATAGTAACTTACTTGCTACTTTTGTCGACTGCAAATACGTGATTCCGTAGGTGACTGTAGATGTTTAATCAAGCCAAAAATGTCAGGTTATGTGATTGTGCCTAAAAAATATTTCACTTAAAACATTTATAAATTATTTCAAAATATCTGTGTCTTCATCACTGCCTGCTAAATAGAATAAAAATGTTTTTATTTTCAAAATAAAATGTCACTTTTAATCAAATGTTGTCTAAAAAGAGATAGAACCTGAGAACAATTGCCAAACTTTTAAACCTTACTAAAAATTCAGACATCGTACTTTCAATAAAATGGTGCTTAAACACTAAATATTAGACAGTGAGGAACTTTACAGCGCTTTCAGGAAATACCAACTAATCATAAGCTTTAAAATCATAGAATCATAGAATGGCCTA